AAGTTATTCCCCTTTTCCATTCACCTTTGATAATTAATCACTTTAAATAATGTATTTGAAAGGTTAATAGAGTAAGATAATTATGCAAGAATGTTTATCGTATAATTCAAAAAGTACTTTCTTAGTTTTAATAATCAGGTAGACCTGTAAGTAATAGATAAATAAAAATGAGACAAAAATAACTTATCTTATTAAAAGTTCTTCAAAGACCATAAGAGAGGTCAATGCTAGAGGTCTTAATATGGGTTTAAAAATAGTACAGAAGCACTAATAGTTTGTTAATAGTCTGCATGGTGATAGTGTTAAGTGGGGGACAGATTAGAACTTAATTTATGAGTTGAGACTGAATACTAGACTAATTATTTTGTTGATCCTGATCTTCCTACTTCTCTTGCTTTAGGGCAACAAAGCTTCATCTATCAGTGTATTTAACTAAATTGTTGTATTATACTCAGGTGACCGTTTAGGCCCTTGGGCCTCTTATTAGAAGACTCAGTGGAGTTATCTAACTTGCTTAGTGGTGCTGGATCGCGAACGGAAGTAGTCTTACGATGACAGAAAGCGCTTTGCGCTGCGTTTAGCGCTTAAAAAGACTTCCATTTAATATTTGTGTGTTTTACTGTATTAATCGTATCATATGACGTCATATACGTAGTAGTGTATGCAATGGATATATGCCGAATACTGTTCTATATGTAAAATTATCAGACTGTTTGAGGCCCGTTAGGGCCGAAAACAGTCTGATAATTTTACATATAGAATTGTATGAGGCATATATCTTACTTAAAACATTGCTATTTAAATGTCCAAAAGTTACCTGTAGGAGTCCGATAATTACACAAAAGGAGTTCAGGCATCAATAGTTTTCTACCTAAAACCATCTAATAAGTGGACAAAAGAAAAGAGAAAGTTTTTTTTTTCTTTAGACAGTAAAATCAGTGAGTGAACTCTTTTGTTTCATTCATTCAATGGCAGTCGTTTGGCTTAGCAGGAACTATGGACAGTGGTCAGGTGATGAGGGAATTTTTTATGATTCTGAATATTTTTTTTTATTAAGTGCGTTTGACATTGATACAGATACAGTGTTGGATGATATCTTCGAAATGCATTTGAAGTAATAATGCGGATTTTTATCTAAATTTTGATTGGATGATATAATGAAAATCTTGGGTTTTAAAAGTGCGGTCATCATGGTCATTGGGGAACAAACCTCGTTAAATGAAGAGATTTGCAGACTGGTTCTTCATCAGAAATGGATTTAAATTGGCTTATTCCCAGTGATGTATCGAAAACGCTTTGCAAAAAAAAAAAAAACAAAAAAAAACTGAATGGAAAGTGTTACTTTTGAGGAAGTTTAAGACTCCAGTTTCTTCTTGGATTTGCTATTTTTAACAACTTAATTTCCTCGCGTTCGCTTACCCTGAATTTTTTCTCCCTAACTTTTTTTTTGGTTTCTGGACAAATTAAACCTTGATTTCACTCTTCTTGTTGTTTTTTAACTACTGTCTGATTTTGTTATCACTGCCGTCCGATAATATATTATTGGACTGCTAATCATTATTATTGGACGACTACAGGTAAATTTTTAGACTGCAAGAACAAAGGCATGACGTCACAGCAATGATTTAAGACCTTCATACACGTGTACTGGACTAGATGAGATAGCGTTAAAGACCCAGGATCTCAGTCCTTTGTCAAGGGGCTGTTTCACCCTCAAATCTCCTGCCATTATTTTTGTTTAATTTGAGTAATTTAAGATTTAAAATTGCATTAAAGTGTTGAGGAAATATGTTTTGTACATTAAAATTAGATATGATTTTTTGGAAAATAATTTATTTCATATGCTAAAATATTGAGGAATGTATTATAATTAAATAGGTTTCCACAGAACAGTGCATTGCCTGCTTTATAGCATCATTAAAGATGGAAACAAATCTTAAGAATGGTCATAAAAATGTGATAAATAAACAAATATATGATTCCCCAACCATTAAAGCTTTAATGAATTATGAAATTGAAATTATTAGAAATAATTATTTATCAATTTTTCACACATCTTTTATCTAACACCCAAGATTCATGACTAAACGTTTCCACTTAAATGTCAAAAATAAGCTGTATATCGGCTCTATGAATTATATTGAAATATGATTTAAGAATTAGGTCAAAGGTACAGTTCAAACGTTAGGAGTCAGGTAGTTCAAGTATTTTAGAAAAGCAATGATGCCAAGCTATATATACACTCCTCTTATAGTTCTCAAGATATAACCTGGTGTGACAGACAGACACAGTCTATGCGAAAGTCATCGGACCGTCGGTTTTTACCGGTAAAATTTAGTTCGGGTCGGTAAAAGAAATTCAGGATACAGCACCAATTGTCCGATGAAAAATTAAGGCCTAAAAATCTGAATTTACATGTACATATGGTCTTATTGTCCACACATACCCTTTATTTGATCCATTTAGCAGTAATACATGTTTAATTTTAATCTAGAAGTATCCTGTCATGATCGTTATTTCTAACTCGAATTTCCTCTGTCATGGAATATAGATCCATAGATAGCTCATACGTAGATTCAGTTGAGCAAAATTTTTTTCATTATTAAACAAGAGTAACCGTAATGAGTTACTTCAGGAAAGAAATAAATATATTTTAAAGTACATTTTAAGTTTTAAAAAAATCTTTGACAATTGTGTATTTCGTTTGTATGTGTCAAATAACCAGAAAAAGAGAAAATTGTATGTTACCTTTTAAAAAGGAAAATTATTAATAGTAAGCTTGTTCTTTTCAATAAAATACTTTTTTTTATAATCTCAAATCTGGATTTATTTGAAGTTCAATTTAACAGTGAGAATCCCCCCCTTCCTTTTAACAATCTCTGTATCATAATAATGTATGTTAAATTTAAAGAAAAAAGGTCGGTCTGGTAAGTAAATGCTTGGTCTGGTAAAATATATATTTTTACCAGACATTATGTCCTGTAAAAATTTTAGACTTTCGCATAGACTGCAGACAAACAACAAGTAAAGTTATCCCTAGGTGTTGCTCTGCACTGCAGATGACGCAAGGAGTTTGCTAAATGATACTTGTGACGTAAAAAGAGATAACTTGTTTACCAATTTCAACCAAACTTGCCACAAAGCATTCTTGGGTAAGGTGAATTCAAGTTCGTTCACACTTTCTATCAAAGGGAGATATTATAAATTAGTGAAAAATCAATGGCATTTTTAGAAAATCTTCTTCTCAAGAACTAGGCCAGGAAAGCTAAAACTTGTGTGGAAGCATCCTCAGAAAGTGGAGATTCAAATTTGTCCAAATCATGACCCCCAGGGGTAGGGTGGGGCCACAATTGATAATCAAAGTTTTAAAAAGGATTTTTTTTTTTAAATATTCTTCTCAAGAACAGGAAAGCCATGATTGGTCATATTTATATGAAAGTATCCTTGGGTAGTGTAGATTTAATTTTGTTCAAATCATAACTCCCGGTGGTAGGATTGGGCCACAATGGATGATCAATGTTTTACATAGGTATACATAAGAAAAATCTTTAAAAATCTTCTTCTCAACAACAGCAAAGCCATGATTGGTCATATTTATATGGAAGCATCCTCATCAGTTAGTGTAGATTAAGTTTTGTTTAAATCCAGTCTAATTAAAATTAGATGTTCCGAATCCGCTACCGCTTCTCAAACATCTACCAACATCTTATTCGGGGTCACGTCAGAGCGACCTTTCGATTAGCCAATGAAATTGGTGCCTTCGAAATTTTGGCTTATAGTTCGGATGCGTTTCTTTTTTTCACTGCCAAACCTAAACGCCGGAGGAGTTTCATAGTAAACAAAATATGCATGGCATAGGCCCGTGCTATGTATGAATGTAACGTGCGGGATATCTTGTATAGTTTGTGCATTCTCGTCATAGGCACTCCCCAGCTTAATTGTTAAAAAATATATATCATGTTTATAGTATAGTAGATATATATTTTTTAACAATTAAGCTGGGGAGTGCCTATGATTCTCGTTTGCGATATTCAGGTAAGAATGCCAGATTGGCGGACTGTACATTCAATTTATACCAAAATTACTTTAACTCAACGTAAGACAGATTACTGAGCATCATTAATGTTAAGATTGTAGCCGTAGACCTATTTTTAGAATCGTATACAGAAGTTCGAATCTGATTGGCCAAGATTTAATGTTTATTCATAATTGAAAGGTAGCTCTGACGTGACCCCGAATGGGATGTTGTTAGATGTTTGAGAAGCGGTTGTGGATTCTAATTTTAATAAGATTGTTTTAAATCGTGACCACCCGGGGGGTAAGGTGGGGACATAATGGGCAAACATTTTAAATGGGAATATATAGAAAAGAACATTAAAAATCCTTTTTCTTAAGAACATCAATGCCATGATTAGTCATATTAATACAGAAGCATCTTCAGGTAGTTTAGATTCAATTTTGTTCAAATCATGATCATGACCCCGGGGGATAGGAAGGGGACACAACAGTGCACCAAATTTATACATTAGGATATATAGGTAAGATAATTAAAATCATAAAGTTGTTAAAATCGTAAAAGTCTTCTAAACCCATGACTAGTCAAAGAAATAAAGAAGCATCTTCGGTTAGTTAAGATTCAAGTTTGTTCAAATCATGCAACCCCAACTCCCCCCCCCCCCCCTTTATAGGTTGGAATCACTTATAATTAAACTTTTCAATACTGAACAAATTTTTGCTTTTATTCATAGCCAACTAGCCAATTTTGAAAGTGCTCATGTGAGCGGTGTGGCCCATGGACCTCTTGTATTGAAAAGCAGCTGTCTACTATGTCAAGAGCCTTGATTTTAATTTATCGCGGGGAATGGTTGTATAAAATGTTGAATAGTTGTACCTTTTTACATTGTTGCTATACGCAATCCTAGAGGAACATGTGTATGGTTAGAATAAAGGTAGTATGTTTCACAAAGAGAAAAAAAAAACAATAACTACTTTATTTTCAGTTGGCATACCGATGCAGGTCATAATGAGAGGAGATGATTCAGTGAAGAATTTCCTGGAAAATCTCAAGAAAGGAAAGACAACGATGTACCACGCCACTGGGATGTTAATAGGATGCGGAGGCAGTGGAAAAACAACGTTGCTTGGAAGATTAAAAGGCATTCACATGGAAGATATTCTGAAAAATACAAGGTCCACCAGAGGAATTGATGTCCAGACCGACGTTTTTGATGTGTCAAACACCATCAAAG